AGGGGAGCAAGGGGAGGCTCAAGCTGTTGCTTGGTCTGATTAATAACTATCAGAGTGCCCATTTTTCTAAGGTTTCATGCCATTAATATGTCTCCCAGTGTCAAATCCACTTGCCATTTCTCTTGTAAGACACTTTAATAATAAACTGCAAAATCAATGGCACACAGAAGCAACCTTATAAGGAGAAAGTGCCCTGCTATATCTTAACTTGAAACACAAAGTCACAAATCTCCTTTCTGGTCTATGTATTACTTTGCCAAAACTTTACCACGGTGCTGTACCCTCAGTGTAGCTCGGTTTTAAGAACCTGGTTTTGCTGTTCCTGAGCAGCTGTTTGTCACTGGGAGGCACACTGGAATAGGCAATTCTGTGATACAGATCACAAAGGAGGTGACAGTGTTGCTTCACCTCATCATGGAACTGGCACAGAATTGTCCTGATCACTGGAAGTGCTGCTGATGACTTCAGCAGGATTTGGTTAAACCCCCACAGGCTGTTGGAACAGCATGGAATGACATAGAACACTGTGTTGGTTGCATTGACTTCAGCAGCTGTGCCCTGTGCTGGGGAACAGACTCAAGCTAGAATGTGCTTAGGGTTCTCCCAACCTTGAAAATATTAATAAATAATATAAATATCTGTATCTGCAAAAATTACTTTGTTCCTGGACAAACACTTCCTTTTAGCCAAGGAAAATCTCACCAAACTCTTGTCAGTCAATCAATAGTCGTTCACCTGTTTGTATGCAAAATGTGCATGTACCTCTTGTTTTTCCCCACAACTTTAGGCTGAACCATGATTTGAATATTTTTTAAAACTGCAGAAATTATGGGATTGATATAATTTAAAGAAAAACAGTTTTCACTAAACTCATAAACCAGGCTTAAGTCTTTATCTTCCATTTATAAACCTTCAAATCCTAAGGCAATAGAAAATTAAGCTCCTTTTATTTCACTGAGGAGCTTAAGATGACTGGATGACCAGCATGAAATTCACAGTAGCATTAATTGAACAAATACAGAACTGGATTACTCCAAATCTGCAGAGAACTGCAGAATAAAGGGCATTATCAAGGATTCAGTGGCAAATTCCCCTTATTGACAAGCATTTGTTATAACATTGAAAGAAAAGCACTGCATGAAAACCATAGGCTACAAAATCCATTAAGAAAGATCCTTTTAAATGAGGCCTAGGAGACTCTGTCTTATCACAGAAGCCAAAACATGGCCATCTGTGGTTACAAGCTTTTCAGATTTTTGTGTTATTGAAGCTAAATAGATGAAGAGACTGACTATGCCAAAATGGAGATAGAGGAAATATAAAGAACAAATAGGAGAGAGAAAAAACATTGTTGACTCTATATGCAAGGAAAACAAGGATTGACTAGAGGAAAATCTGAGGACAAAATATATTTGCACATTATAACTCATGTAGGTTCTGTTTCTGTGTATGTAACAGTAGGGATTGCCATTACTTTCTATAGGAGGATGAAGATCCAACAATATCTAGAAAATCTACCTGTTACCAGAACAGAGGGGAAGTCCATCAGATGTGAAAGGATGGATTTTCTCCTACTGTGATCATGGAGAGGACATGCGTCACATATTTCAAGTGCAATGTTCTTCTTCACCTTTTGAATTAACATATTTGCTATTTTCTTATCCAAATGTCAGCAAGTTTCATCGTATTATTGCTACATGACCTACTTTGCTAAGGGGATGCTTTTTAATGATAACCCACCATGGAGTGCTGCTTCTCTTGAGTTTGATGGAACTGAAATTAGCTGGTTCATTAGAGGGAAAATAGCATTTAGATTTCATTTCAATATTTTAACCATGATGTCTATTTCTACTACACTTCACTCTAGCATTTACCTTTGTCTTTGGCCTGGTAAGAAGAGATGCCACAACTCAACTGGGTGGGCTTTGAGGAGAGTTTGATAATCTGGATGCCACAGTGCTGCTGCTGTGCTGCTGCTGCTGTCCCTGACTGGCTCCTGGGATCTGGCTCAGGTGTCCATTAGTCAAAAAACCCTCTCCTGGTCTTTGGCATCAGCCTTGTGAAGGCTGACCTAGAACAGACTAGACAGAGCTAAAGAATAAAGTAGGGATTTATTAAGAGGCCTAAAATAGATCCAGCACAACCCAAAATAGCCACAAAATGGACAACAAGTCACGGAGTCTCACACTTTGATAAGTTTTGGTCCATTTGCATATTGGATTTAATTGTCCAGTTATAGCTTTAGCCCATGAAGTCCCATCCTTCTTGTTTTCTCTCTTCAGTCCACGTTATTTGTGCTCTTGGGCCTGAGATCTGGATCAGTTGTCCTTGGTCTCCAGCTAGAGAAGGGTTTTGTCTCCCTACTCTGTGAGGAGAGCTCACCATCCCCTAGTATGAAGCCTAAACTTACACACAAAAGCAGAATAGAATCTGAAAAATAAAAAAGCTAAAACCTGAGGCATCAAGTGCTGTTAGAAAATGACTCCAGAGATTTTAAACAACCTGAAAATTTAATTTATTCTCAGGGATTCTTCAAATCTATATTGGGGTTTTGTAAATAAAGAGGTTTTTCAGCTATTTTTGCTATTGATTTACATACAAAATATAGGCTTCTGAAATGAAAAAAAGGTTGAGTGGGTTCTTAAGACTGCTGATGTACCTGGAAAACTTAAACTCTAGAATCAGTGGTGTCTGCATCAACGTTTTAATTGGCACAGGTGCTTGCTGTTTGGAGAAGGATTTCCACAGCTCTGAGAAATCAGTGCAGACCCCTCTGTTCAGCTCAGTGGGTTTTGGCTGGATCCCTTGCCCAGTTGGATCAGAGGGCAGGAGCAGCAGGGAGCAGCTGCTGGGCACGGGGGAAGTGGTGCCAGGCAGAGCTCAGGGCTCACCACGGAGTTCGGGCACAGGTCCTGCCTGGGAGGGAACCTCCGTGGAGGGAGCTAAAAAGAAAATTGGGTTTTACGTTTTTGGCCAAGGAAGCTACTTTGAATACATTTGATTAAACAGAATATTTCATTTTACTGTTTTAATAATAAATCATACACACAGAATAAATGCAATATTTGTAATTCCATTAAAATGTAATTTCTTTTGTACTGTGAGTGAATTACATGACAGGTGTAACATACTTTTTCTTTGTTCTTGGTTGAGTTTTAGCATGTAATTATTTTCCAATTTTCTGACTGTTTCTTGAGCATTTTAATCCTTTTTGGAAATGGCATTAAGGAGTTTCTTTTCAATGAGAGCAAGGGCCTTAAATACCACAAAGAATGCGGACTTAGTTCTACAATTCTTACAGTTTTCATTGGTAAATAGCTCCAAAATATATGGCCCCTAAACACACCAACTGACTATTGTCAGTTGTTATAAATTCAGGATGGCACAGTGCAGCCTGATAATTTTCTTTTCATCAAGACAGGGATGTTGGTTTGTGTTTGCTGAGACCAAAAGCTCATGGTCCTGCTCTGGGTTGTGTTCTGGATTTTAGGAATAGTGAAGATGTTGTGTATTTCAAAAAGAATCAAACTTTTCTTCCTGGAAAGGCAGTCACAAATTTTGATGTGCAGCTTTTAATGATGCTTTTTTCCTGTTCTGCATCTTGGAATCACTTCAGTCAATACAGAGCAAAACAAAGAGGAATATTCAAACAGGTGGTTTTATTTCCATCCTTACTGTGAGGCTGCAATTTGAAAGTGCTTGGTTGGGGTTTTAATTTTGTTAGTTTTTTGAGAATTCCTTTAAACTTCTGAAATGGAGCTGATTGTTATGAGTAAGCCTTCCATCTATGACCACAGTGATATCACAACGTTTTGGTTACCAGCTCTTTGTTGATCTGTTGTGTGGAGGCGAGAAGAGTCCAAAAGTTAAAAATTGGAAGCATAAAATGGAAATTACATTGGGAAACAGAATGTCCTGACACTGGAAATTTTATAGTGATCTGCTTTCTGCTTTCTGCTTTCTGAACAGCCCAGTATCCACAGCTTTGTTCCATTACAGTGAGCATCTCTTTGTTTTCCAGGGTGAATTTCTTACCACAGAGCAGTCTGAATCTTTCTTTTGCCTAAAGTGAATGTGACCTGATGGCATTTTCAACATCTGCCACCCTGTGGTGTTGCCTTTAGCCACTAATGCTGCATCAGTCACACAGCCCCTGGGTGCAGCAGTGGCTGCTGGTTGCTGGTGTGGGCAGGGGATGTAAAGGGTGTGGAAGCGACAGGTGACAACCACAGGTTTTCTTGTTCTCTCTCAACTCTGCATCCACCAAAATCCAAAGAACTTGAAGTTTTTATCAGTGAGGTACTACTGGATATGAGGCTTGGCATTAGAGCTTCAGCAGGTTATAAATGACAATATATGACAGTAAAATACTCTTTTCCTGCTACAGGTAGCATGATTGTAATGAGTTGATGCTATTTTCTTGCTGCTCAGAGTTTTGTAGTGGTGAGGTTGCTGATAAAGTTGATTAATTAATATATTATTTTCAAAGCTTTGTTTATTTAATTCTCTGATGGGATGGCTGAATAAGGAGCTGCCTCCCACATAATATTTTTTACATCTATTTTAATTTGATTCCTAATATCCTTTGTGCTCGTAAAGCTTGTCCTCATTTTTATATTTTGGTGTTTGTAATCTGTTTGAGAAAATGTAGAAAAATAACAACCATGTTTTTTTGTGTTTTTCAGTTTGTTTATCAATGTAACCATGAAATTAGCAGATTGCATTTATTAAAGTAAAATAGGCCTTTGCAAATTTCTTATATAAGCGAAACAGAATTCTATGCAGCTTTCATTTGTAATGTTATGAAAATTATACATTTACAAACTGTAAAAGTCATAGTCACAACAAGAGTGGTAAGTTATAGAGCAAGAAAAGCCCAGGCAAAAGAACTATATTGAAACAGTAATTATATTCCTAAAGATATCTTTTGGAAAAAATGAAGCTTCTTCATCTCTAGATAAACTTAAAAATAAAATTGTCATGGTTTTCAAATATTTCAGTACCTATTCTTTTCTTTATATCTATCATTGTAAAATTTTTATTTTTGTTATATTGGCATGGTCATTTGTATTTTCATTTTAATACTGGAGAAAGATCTTTCTGGTAGCAACTTAGTGTTTCTTAGTAAGTACTTAAAAAGGAGTTAAATATTATTTTATAAAACTTTCAGTGGGTGTTAAAGTACAACTATTGAACACCAGAAGGAAGAAGTAGCTATTTATTTATTTATTGTTCCTTCAGAGAACATCTTTTCATCGTTCAAGGGCAGTCATTTCTAGAATAAATAAGGATCCTTTATTCTGTCAAATGAAAAATGAAAACGTTTTATGGGATTGATACTGTCACTACAGCAGTGCTGCTTAAATAATTAGTTGTCCTTACTGAAATACAGGATCATTGACTTGGTGAATATCAAGCTGACAAGTCATCCTGTTAAATTTCAGTTTGCTAGTTCCTATTAAAAATTACTTTGATCGTTCTCTCATAATTGATATCTGCATATGGAGTACCTGATATCAGTTTCACAGTTGGAATATATTTTTTTGTTATTTCTGGTTTCTTTTACTGTAATTCACATACTAAACTGTACCTCAGAACTTAACATGTATTAATAAATAACAACGTTCTGAGTTCTCATTTCATTTTTTCAGAGATCTTGTTGCTCTATACAAGCAATAAAAACCAGACACTCTTGAAAACCTGTTCCTTTTTTCTGTTTCACAGAAGAAGATACCGAGTGCAGATTGTTTAAGCCCTGGACAGCCACTGCACCAAGTGTGTCACAGGGGGTCCAGGTTTCTGGAGCCTGTGGGAGCTGATGTGTGCTCAGACACAGGAAAGGCTTCTCAGCAGAGACTGGAGCCTCACTCAGCAGGCAGAGGTACAATGGCCTGGGGGTGGAGGAACAAATCACCTTTAATACATCCAGAGACCTTAAAGCATTTTTGATTTATATGAGGTTGGCACTTGCCTATAGAGGGATCAGCTTTGGTGGTCTTGGGTTATGATTGCAGACAGATTCTTGCCTTGCTCTTTTGTATGTATCAGTTGATCCACATAGGCTTCACTTCCACAGAAGCAAATTTTCACTTAGATTTTTGACTTGAGGTTTTGAGTTCTGGATGCAATATTGATCCAAAAGACAGACTACTGAACTTTCAAAGTAGGTAAGAACCCTATTGTTTCTCAGCCTCACTCCCTTCACAGCTCAGCAACACACATCCATACATCCTGTAGAAATTATTTCCTTTAAAATAAAATCATGAAAAAATGTCAATTTACTTCCATGTTTGAAGAGAAGGGGATAAGTCATACTTTTGATAAAGAGGTATCTTGTGAATTTCTAAATCTAATTTTAGTTGCTCCATGCAGCAACCTGAGGTTGTTGGTTGGTCCTGACAGGAGATTCTGGGGAAGAGCATCTATAGGAAAGAAACAAAAGGGTTCACAGAGTATCACTGTGCTGACAATGAGATCAAACCCAAACTGCTGACTGTAAGACCTGAAAGAGGATGAGACTAAAGAGGATGCAGAACCAAACGACTTCCCATTCAATGTTATTTTTAACAAAAAATGAGTTAATATTAAAAAAAATAGAAAATTTTTCTTTGCTGTTCTCCCTATTGTGTCTTCACAAATGTGGGTGATGAGCTGTGAGCTACAGGTGCATGAGGACGAATTTCCCAAAAGGCTGCTATTTTTTGGTACATTCAGTTTACTTTTGCTGCACTTGTCTCTGTGATCCTCTGCTAGAAGTTCAGTCCTAGGAACAAATCTGGCTGCTTGGACTAACAATTTTATGGATGTTCATGGTACTCAGCTGCCAATCAGAAGCATGCAGATGCAAATTGGATGGTTAGATACACAAGTACTTTGATTTGTCTGTAAACTCATCTTGAGCATGTGAAGTCTCAGTAATGATTTTTGCAGGTGGAATTTGTACTTTTTAAAAAGAACCTGAACCTTCAAAACACCTTCACTTAATGGTTGGTTGGGTCGGTTTGTTTATGCTTACTTTCTAGATGATGAAAATCTTACAAGCCTGAAGCTCAGCCTGAAAACATATTGCTGAGGCTAAAAATACTTGCAAAATAATGTAACAGATAAAGCTCTGAAGAAACAGATTTTATTTGACAGTCTTGATTTTTTTTTTCAATGACCTCACAAAAACATTAAATGGGAATAGCCTGGGGAAGAGGCACTAAATCAATAGGTACCAGTAAATTTGTGAAATCAATTTTTTGCTTTTCACATACAGGAGAATTGATGCAGTCAATGCTGTGTAACTCCCATTAATTGCCCAGGGCGACAGAAGATTTATCAATTGCTTATTGACTTCTTTGAAGCCATAAGGGGAAAATGGAAATAGCTGCAAAGTTAACTGAGTAATAGAGAAGACATCCTTCCCCAGCTGATGTATAAATAGAGGCACAGCAGATTGTCTCCACAATACATTTGATATCAACATTTCTGCAGCCAGAAGCAGAAACAACATTACTGGGGGGGCAAGACTGCAGAGGTGTGTGTGGAATAATGCCTGTCCTGCCTGTGACACCCTGCAGAGGAGTGCCACAGGGGTACAGAGGGTACAGAGGGTGTCACAGGAATACAGATGGTGTAATGGGGGGTACAAAGGGTGTCACAGGGGGTACAGAGGGTGTAATAGGGGGTACAAGGGGTGTCACAGAGGGTACAGAGGGCATCACAGAAGGTGCTGAGGCCCTGGCAGAGGGTGCCCAGACAAACTGTGGCTGCCCCTGGATCCCTGCAAGTGCTCCAAACCAGGTTGGGTGGGGCTTGGAGCATCCTGGCATAGTGGAAGGGGTCCCTGTGCATGGCAGGGGTGGAACTGGGCAAGCTTTAAATATCTTCCAACACGAACCATTTTTTGATTTTATGATGTTTTACTGTGTAGTAGTCACTCAGTTTTTACAAACAGTTGGTCCACAGGAATTCCTGTTAAATTTAGTAGGGTGACTTGTGAAGAAGTTACTTTTCCCCAGAGCTAAAGGCATCTAGTCCTCACTTTGAGCATTTTTATAATGGTCACAGGCTTCAATTTCTTGGTTATAAATAAGATATTTCACATTTACCAGCTAAAATATCAGCTACTGCTTTTATTGTGCCCTCTTCAGTCTTCTCACTTCCCCTGGGTATGAGGTGTGGGAGAGCTCATTAAATTTCTGAGTCAGAAAAGAGAAAACAGTAAATAAAAATAAATATATAAATTAAAAATACACCATCTGTGGTATAAACAGGGCACTCTGAAATATTAGTTAAAATTTCCATAAATGTGACACATGATAAAAAGAGCAGTAACACAAAGCAAAAGAAGAAAAAGACTTTTAAGGCTAATAAACTTAGCACTGTAAAGTGACACCTGACACTTCAAAGTAAAAAAATGGAGTTTTTTATGTGTTTTATCTTTTTAACAGAAAACAAATTAATGGTTCTTTTTTTTTTTTTTAAATAATAAATTATTTGCAAATCTAGCATACCTATATAACCTACAGCAGAGCCAAGGGTGGGAAGAAGTTTTGGAATAAGCTAGGTTTTATATTTTTACTTTTTTTCTAAATTCTGTTAAAAAAACCTTCCCTGTCCTTCAATGTCAAACTAATCTTCTTCCTTTTATCTTTAACTCCTTTCTAACTCTTCTTTGAGGAAGTAAATCCATGTAATGCCCTTAACATGAATGCAGGCTAGCATCCTGGAAAATAAGTCCATCCTGATCATTATTTCCATCTTTCTTCCCTGTTTTCTAGCACAGATGTTAAATTTCAACAAATTGAAAATAACCCCCTATAACAAGATTTTAATGGGAATAAATTGCAGCTTCTGCATAAAGGTAAGATCACAAATATATAAGATGATTGGACAATATATCCAAGGAAGTTAAATAGACTATTTGTAGTTGATGTTTATGAAAAGAGAATGAAGTGTTTTTCAGCAGTTGAAGGCATTAGGTTAGCAGTCACAGCACAAAGTCAAATATAAATTTTACAAACCAAATGGCTGGTAAAGATTTAACTTCTATTTAAATGAGAGAAGATCATGATTCAGGAGTAAAAATCAGTAATTAACATGATTCATTATCAGCAGGCTCATGAGTGTCTTGCCTCTAAAACTCATAAGCAGAAACTTCTTAAAACCCTGGATGCTGAAAAATGATGGGGGAGGAGAAATAAAAGCAGATTTGGCAAGCTACATCTTGATGAGATATTAGGCTTAAGAGTGAGGAAACAAGAGAGTTGCATCTGAAAGCTCTGTCAACCTGCTAAATACTTCAAAAGAAGCAGATTTAAAAAAAAAAAAAAAAAAAAAGAAAAATCAGTTATATTTGGAGATCCACAGCTGTGTAAATATGTGGGATTCCTTAAAATCAGAGGGTTTTGGGCACGTTGCAAAAGGCAGGCCTCAGAGACAGCAGCAGGATGGTGATTAGAGCTAAGCAGTAGTTATAAGAGTTGTCAGCAGAAAAATTATACAAGAAGTAGAAAGAAAGGACAAATAGAACAATGGTCTGTGTATTAACGCTTGGGTAGAATAACTTCCTAAATTGCAGACAAGTATATCTGGTGAGATATTAAGAAGGTCTAAGCTTAATAATGGAGCTCTGTGCATTGTATCTTAAGGCTTACAAGCAACTATTGTATTCGAAATAAGCAAGCATTGTTTTAACTAAAGGTATGTGTGCTTATAGTGATTGGATAGAACTACTGTCAATATGCTTTTGCTTTGTGTGATTGGTCAAAAAGTTTATAAAGAAAATTGTAACATTAAGTTCTTGGTCTGTTGCCTGGATGTGAAGTGCTGGCATCTTCCCATTGTCATAACCATGTAATGAGACTGATGCTAAAAAATAAACAGCTCCAGATGCTTACCACAGCAGCCCTGTCCCGTTCGTGACTTGTACGTAGCCCCCGGCCAGCGACAGAAATAGAAGGGCCTGTCTGGCTGGGGAATGCAGTCTGGATGTGTTCTTGTGATCCCCAAGGGAGATGAGGAGGTTCTTGGTGGACTTGGTGGGTTCTGAGGTGATTTTGTGACTGCCCACACTGGGCTCGGTGTGGCTTTGGCTCCCTGAGTAAGGCAGGGCCCAGGGGTGCCCCAGCCCTGCCTCTGCTCCTTGTGCCCCTGGGCTGAGTCCCAGCTCCAGGATGCTGCCAGAGCACTGGAGAACAGAACAATGTTGGAGCCCCTGTGCATGGCCAGGGCTCCTGTGCTACCCTTTCCTCTTGCCAGCAGCCCCCCCTGCCTCCCTTTCCTGCGGGACTGCATCTCTGAGCTAGAGGAGAGAGGGAAAGGGGGGAGCTCAGCCAGCTCAGACACTGCCCTGTGCCTGAGGGCAACCTGAGGGGATGAGATGGTGGGGAAAGGGAACAAGTACCACAGCTGTGAGCTGCTTCTTTGGCTTGTGGATGCTGTGAATGTACACGTGTGGCAGTGTTAGGAAAGACACTCTTTCACATGTTCAGTGTTTGGATATTGAGCTGTCCCCCAGCAGAGATCTGGTGTGGGTCACTGGGGGCCTGATGGGAGCAGTCTGTGCTGGTACTTTGAGACAAGATTCTGTTTTTGAGATGAATTTGTGTATTGCTGCATTCAGTGAAACCCTGAGATGTGCCTTGAGTCCCTGACAAGGAAAGGAAAGGAAAGGAAAGGAAAGGAAAGGAAAGGAAAGGAAAGGAAAGGAAAGGAAAGGAAAGGAAAGGAAAGGAAAGGAAAGGAAAGGAAAGGAAAGGAAAGGAAAGGAAAGGAAAGGAAAGGAAAGGAAAGGAAAGGAAAGGAAAGGAAAGGAAAGGAAAGGAAAGGAAAGGAAAGGAAAGGAAAGGAAAGGGGAAAGGAAAAAGGAAAGGAAAGGAAAAAGGAAAGGAAAGGAAAAAGGAAAGGAAAGGAAAAGAAAGGAAAAAGGAAAGGGCCCAGGAGGCACAGTGTCCCCATGGCAGCTGCTCTCCTGATTCTGCCTACTGAGCAGTTCATTAATTGTGCAGGAACTGTCCTTGCACTTCCTGTCACAGTAACTTTTATGGACTGTTCTGCGTTTGAGGAGTCCCTGCTAGGGGATGCTAAAAGGCAGCTTTTGTTTTGAGGCATTAATATGTGCTTGGCAAAAATGTTGTGCCAAGTTTTGACAGTGTACTGATAGTGCATGAAAAATAAGGGACTTAATGTTGTCCTAGAAATGAGACATTACATTTTAATAGTGAGACTGATTTGCCCAGTAAAAAATTTACTGAGAAATGAGGCAGACTATCCATTCCTTAATGTGCCAAAATAAAAATGGGCATATTTCAAAAGATAGAGGGTAGCTGGAATAGATACTACAGGCTCACTTCAGGAGGAAGTTGGTAAAAAACCGTGGTTGTCAATATGCAGGAGATCAGACTGGCTGATAATAATGGTCCATTTCAGTTCCTATAAATTGGTGAATCTAATAATTTCAGTAGAAATGCTGCCTCTAAATGTCATTTACCCTGTGACCTCATTTATCTGGAGGTGTTAAGCAGCTGTAAAGTAGTTGCAAGATCTACTGACTTTGTCTACTTTCTTCACTAGGACAGTAAAAAGGGGTTGTGTGGAATTGGGATTGAAAGCTTTCTTCAGAAACCCCCAAGTTTGTGGGGATGAGGGGAACGAGCCCATCTAGACTAGATTCTCTGTTATAATATTTTATGTTCTCAGATCCCACATTGAAAATAATATATTCCCTGCTGGACGTAAAAGAAAAGTAATTTATATCTTTTTTTCATTGTTTTTATTCAGGGACAATGTTTTTGACCCAAAGATGAAGCAGATTTTCATCTTTCATGGCCATTTTTCACCTAGAATCTTTTCCTGTAATCTTTAAAATATTCATACTTGCATTGAGAAGCCAAATTTTTGAAGGTGATCCTAGGTGAATAGGATTAAACAACACAGGTCAGACTACTTACTTAATCACTGTATATTCTTCATGCAATTGGCAAGAAATTATATTTCATACAGTGTTCTTTATAGTCTCAAATTTTAGTATTCTGAGAGGAGAAAAATGAAAGGCAAATATCACGACCTTTTGTATCTCAATGACCTGAAACTGGAGATGGGTTGCAATTTAAATACAGAATTCAATCCTAACTTTAAAGTATCAGTAGGCACTTGTAAAATATGTCTAGGACATTCAGAATGGAAAAGATATAATGTAATATCTTTCCAGGGAGAAGAGCTCTGAAAATTGCCATTTTCCCTTCACACATTAAGGCACTTACTGATTAAAATTCATAACTTTGATTAAGAAAAAGTAATCATTTTTCCCAGAAGCAAAGTTGTTTTTACTTTTAATTGTTTTGTTTGTTTCTAGTGCAGGAGAGATAATTCATGTTTTGGTTTTAGGCCAGAAAAAAAAAAGCTGATTTTTTTTTTATTGTTTTCATATGCAGAAATGTTTCAATTTTCAGAATTATCATTAGTGACACAACTATACAATTTATGCTCAATGTTCTTTGATAGAACAAATTCTGACAGCCAAACATCAGAACTGAATCTAATCATGAGTGTCACTAGGCAAAAAAATCAGACTTAGCTGAGGTGTTCTCCTTCTCTGTCTGAGCTCAGTCTCATGGGAATCAAAAAAGTATTGTACCTATAGCACAGAGAGTAAAATCTAGGAAATGACAATCCTGCAAGAATGGCCTGCTTTCCCCTGCAATTAAACTAATGAAGGCTTTCCTTGGACAGGCTGCATGGGCTGAGGTGTCAGGAGTGCAGTGGAGCACTGGGGCTGGTGCAGGAGCCCCAGATACTGCCTGTGCTGGCCAAGCTTTGGCCTTGAAATTGTGTGTCAAGGATCCCTGCAGCTCCAGCAGTGGAACAGGACAGCTCCTCACCACAGTACTTTTCCAAATGAGGGATAAGGTGGTCAAGTCTGACCATTGAGTTGAGCTGCCTCATGCTCAGAAGTACCTACCCTGAATATCCTTCCAAGATCCTTAGAAAGTGCTGAGCAGCTGCATTTTAAAAATCCTGATTCATTGGAAATTCTCAGCATAGCGGTTCCAGTTTCTTGTTCATGCCAAAGTCCTGACTGAAGGCAAGATTTTTTATGGGATAGAAAAAGGATGGTCCTGCTGCCCAGCAAAGTGCAGGGTAGCTGTGATGGCACAGGCCTGCACTGAATCATCTGAAGTGATGCAGAAGCTCCAGACAGGCTCCAAAATGTTTCAGCTCCTGACTGAAAGGTGCAGCAGAATTGTGACTGGCGGTCACTGAGCTGGAGTTGCAGTCACTTCTCCTTCCCCTCTGGAGCCAGGGAGGTTCTCTGTCACTGGGCTGGAGCAGCTGTGCTCACACAGCTCTGCCCACCAGCAAATCAGGAAACCTTCCCTGATTTTTCTGACTGGAGTGGAGCAAAGCAAACATCTGGACTCAGCAGGAACACGATGAACAAAGGGAAACCTGCCAGCAGTGTTTCCTAAGATATGTGTGCCCTAAGGAAGAAATCATTGTGTTGAAGGTGTTAAAAGCAGCTCTTGCTGTTTGTTTCTCTGACATTCCACTGTCTTTATAAGATCAGCAAGGGCACTGCACCACCACAGACATAAGTCACGTCTGTTTATGTATGAGCTTTCAGTGAGCCTGTTTTTTTCTGCTATGAGATACTGGCATATCCATTGTCAGGGAAGAAAATGTTCTCCAGGTGAAACGGGTTTTTTTGGTAAGATTTTTCGACCTCATCAGTGTCTAGCTGGATATTAGTATTTTTTTGAATATGCAGACAGAAAATACCAGAGTTAAATGTAGGATCTTGAGCAAGGTTTTGTAACTAGTGCTGACCAGCATGCAAATCCCACAAATAGCCATTAAGTTACAAGTGCAGGATGTGAGACAAGAGGAAGAAACTTTTTGGTCCTTTTCAACTTCTGGGTTTTGTTGACAAAATTTTTCTCCTCTAAGGCAGTTTGTCTTTAATATTCTCTAAAAATTATTTTCTCAGTTTTTATTTCCTTGCGATATTTGATATTCTTTGTAGAGCTCCAGCTGCCAGGTTGGTAGTATTTTGCAAGAACCAGCTTTTTATTTTTTAAAGTGCTATAGTTGTTTTTGCTTCTCATTGTTCCAGAGACGTTGAAAACATGAACCATAACACCTACAAAGAAAATTTTAAAAAAAGGAAGGAAAATGAAATAATGACTACCAAAGCCATTCATTTGGAAATGAGATCTTTAGGCCTATAACAATTTGCTTATAATTTGGAGGGAGGGTGAATTTTTTTTTATCACTCCTAATTATTGTGTTCCTTTACAGGGAAGAATTATAAATACACTATATATGGAGCAGGAACTGTAGCTGACTTATTAAGAACAGTACAAAGCAAAGTGAAAAACAGTCAGGAATTGTAAAAGAAATAATTTGTCTCTATCTCAGTTTACCTTTCTAGTAGCACCCAGGCTCTGAGAAGTGTAAGGCTGAGGAAAATGATGGCATAAAGCAGAATATTTAAAAGTTATGTGTTTTTACAGAGGTTGGGACTTTCCCCCTTGTTTTCCACAGACCAGCATTTTTCCTTCTGTAAAAAGAACAGCTCATATGAAGAAAAATGCTAAGTCTGTAACTCTTTGGCCATAATTGTATTGAATGTTATTCAAACATTAGGTTTTTTTTTTGTCTTTTCTCATTTTTTTATCAAGATTATTTCACAAAATGAGATTCAGTCCTAGGAAAATATTTTGAGATTTTGTAATTAAAAACAATTATTCCAGAAATATTAGTTCTTTAAAGAGAGGTTTATTTGTTATGGAAATAAAGGCCAGCATAGATAATACAGTGAAAAGGTAAGATTGAGTCAATTGTTCCTATGCTTCCTTCCTTAAAATTGAATTATTCATTATTTCCTTAAAAAATGCACAGAAAATAACATATTTTTTCCCCTAACTTAAGACTGCCACTGAAGTAGGACATTAAACAAAAACAAATCCATTCCTAGACAGCTTCCATGAATTCTTACTAATTATCACACTTCAAGAGTTACCTGTTTTGTGACTTCTCTGGGTTTATGTTTGAAAGCAAAATGAGATGCCATTTCCCAGCTGAAGTGCAATTTGTTGTAATTTCTTATAAGTTTTTAGATTATTTCTTTTCATCATGTTATTTTTTGGACAGGGAGATACTAGAGCTTTGTCATATTTCTGGTTCACTCATGTCTGTATCAACTGATAGGAAATTACCAAGTAAGTGAGTTTAAAATTTTATCATCCCACAGCACATATCTGGGAGGCTGGTGGAGGAGTAGCTGTGTTACAGAAGGGCTGCTTTGGGAGGGAGGTGGGCAAATGGCCTTTGTCTGTCTGTGAATAGAGCCCTCATTTTTGAAGCTTACCCATAGAAATATGTGAAGGATACAACTTAGGATATAGTAAACATATTTTCTGAAAAGTATATTTGCTTATGAAAGAACCAAACCCTGTGTGACAGTGTTAAATGACTTGTGTGAGATACTTGGCTTGAGGTCAGCCACAGGTCTGCTAACCCAGAAGCCACAGAGGGGTTTCTTTCGTAAACTTTCTTCTATCTGTGATATCTACAGATTCTGTCATTTGGCAAAATCTCTCTTTAGGTTCCACTTTGCTTTTCTCTCTGTCTTGCTGTTCCCTGTAGGATGTCATTATCCATCTGGCTCTGGGGTGTGGAGGGACCA